ATGAATGGGATTATAAGTGCCAACAGTTCATGAATCTGGGATTTTACATCTGAGAAGTGAAGTCAGGTCAAATAGGTATGTGACCTCACCAATCATGATAAGATATGGGAAAAAGCACGATGCTCTCTGCTTTGAAAGAATACGCTAAAAACGCTAGATACTTTTGTAGCCATGGCACCTTGTTCATTTCAGAGACAAGGTGCAGCTAATGACCTTGTCTCTTGGTGACTGGAATGGTCAGTGATTAGGTCATCAAAGGTCTCTACTCTCTAACACATTTTCGACAACAACTTTTGATGGAGACGCTGTAGAGCGATGACAGCACCTGGAGTGTGTTCAGCTCAGTAACACAGATCGATCCATATGCAGCAGGTTCTTTTCCGGTCAGGGCATGACCTTTACCTGATGTCAAGTGTTCTATTCAAGTTTTTAAGTTCAAATTGTAAGCCATGCGACGTGTTTCGACGAAACAAAAACGATGGTGATAACATGATTATCATACACATTCACTGAATCATAGGTTGTTACAGAAAAAATGTTTCGGCAAATTCCGTCCGTTTAGCTGTTTAGACTCTATGGTACACAAGCCATAGACCCGAAATCATATCTGAGGCGAAGTTGGCGAAAGAACTTTAAAGAAGCTATCGAATACGCTTTCTGTGTCGCTGTAGCTCATATTCGTGTTTTACGGGTCGCTAAAGATAAAACGTTTTCCAACGTAACGCTAAGGCATGCTTTCGGCCCCTGATCGAGGTAGAGTTTCGCGGAAGAGCGAGGATGCTGCCCGTGATGAGAGAAAGCCGATGATGCCCAATTTCAAGGTCTTGGCCGGGTCATCGTAGGTCAACGCCCAAAAGTAGGAAAAATCTGGCCGCCTGCTAGAACTTTGCGAGCCTACAGCCCGGTTCTGACTGCCGTTTTTCGATCGTTTGGTGGATCGTATGGTGATCGTATCGTGATCGTATGGTGATGGGATGGGGATCGGCACGCCCGTTTCCCGATCGCCGCGATGGTAATCGTATGTGTGCAGTGAGAACCGGGAAAAAACGTGACTGTGCGCGACGTTCGGTAGCGGCAGATCGTACGTCGTAGTGCGTTTCGTCGAAAGATGGATTGAGTTTATCTTTTGTCTTGATCGTATCGTACAGTTGACATCGTGTGGGGAACTCGCTGTGCTGCTGCTTTTCTTGCTGCTGTCTTGTGGAAGGTCTGTGCCAACATATTTGATATAACTTATCCTATCAGTAGCGTACTTTAAATAAATAAGCTTGATTGACATAATACTTAAAATCAAAGTAGGTAGGTACTCCCACTTAGAAGATACCATACGAAAAATCATTGTTTCGTTCAGGTGCGTCAATTACATCAAAGTAGTAATTTTATTGCACGAAAAAGCCTTACCCGATAATGTTGATTTGATACTTAAATTAATGAAATGTTTTAACTACATTTAACCTCTTTTTAAGTCTGAAAAGTATTAATTTCCCTCTTTATAAATCTCGTCCCGTTCATGGCGGCCAATCAACGCGCTTCCCTCAGATGACGTCATCTGTGCGCCTGCGCTCTGCCGAGCCGGCAAGCCTCGTGGTGACCGGCGATTTACCGGCAACACCGGAGGTGGTACATAGATATCTTACCAATGAATTTCTGTCAATTTCAACGAACCGATTTTCAAGAAAACCGATGCACAGCATTCACAATACTCACTTTTAGGTTGTAGGTTACTTTCCAGGACAATTTGACATGATTTTCTATTTTTCCACGCATTTTCGAAATCACGTACCTTCCACGGCCGAGAATGGTTTCCGCCGCCATGCTGCTCTAATCGAGCCGAAATGTTGATTCACGGTATATAGAGAACTGTGTTGATTAACTTCACGGAACAGTCAGACCCGACTATTCAAACTAAATTATTGAATTAGAGATGTTTTAAACTACATTTAACGTCTCTTCAAGCGTAAAAAGTATTTATTTCGTTCTTATCTACCACCGCCGGCAGTAATGGCGGACGCAGACTCCCACACGATACGCACGATCCGCACGATACGATCTACCAGTTACCAGATCGTATCGGGCCTAGAGATTTTTATCTTTTTCCGCCAGCCACGCTCACCATACGATCACCATACCCTTACCATCCGCTCCGATCGGTTTCGGCAGTCAGAACCGGGCTGTAGCTGTTATCGGGGTCCCGAGTACGAGTTCGATGTTAGTTTTGAACAAAGATGATGACTCCATGCATTTGGGGTAGATCGGGTCAGGTCAGGTCAGGTCGACCAGCAGGCTTCCTGCCGGCCATCTAGAGCGGGTGACTGACAACCACCAACGATAGCTTCGTAACATGTTACATACCCCGCGTTCGATGTCTCTCGGACGACAAAGATTCTACGTCGTCCGGCCAATCCCGTCCAAGGTCAGCGGAGGCTCGGCTGCGGTTCTGGAACGTGATTGGCCGGACGGCGTAGAATCTTCGCCGTCCGAGAGACATCGAACGCGGGGATAACCACCATTTATCAAAACTACTTCTTGTTCAAACGGGCGCTAAACTCGAATTCAGCCCCAAAAACTACACTTGTAGGTAAGTGGAAGCAAATAAAACTCAAAAAAGTTAACCAAGGTCATCCATATTCGAATCAGGGCCAATAAATTTTTAGATTAGGTGTAAAATTCATTAACTCGAGGTCACTGGAAGTATCGTTGCATTATACTCCTTTTTGCGCGTCTTATTAGGAAAGCCCGAGATGGGTCCACCATCTGACCCCATTTCCCCTATGCAGGCAGGTCCGAGGAGTCAGGGCTGAGGCTAGCCAGGTACCTCGTAGTTACTGATAGGTCATCCGACGAATCGACTGCAACCATTATTTTGAGACTCAGACGAACGGTTGGGTCAGTTTTGACGCGCTCGCTCATTTGAGGGATAAAAAGGGACTAGAATAGTGGCCACTTTAACATATTGTCATGCTGATGTTCCAGCCCACAGCTTATTGGCCTATAAGCAATAGGGACTAGGGAGCTCTTGAAGCAATTCTGAATCTGACGTTGTATTTGTTGATGTTGCTGACGCCAACTTCCCTGGCATGATAGCTAAAAAAGCATGCTCAGCATCGCCAAAAGTGGGGGGGTCGACCCCCCCGGTTCTGACGAGTGGGGGGAGGGGGGTCGCGACCCCCGCAACCCCCCCCCCCCCGTCGGCTACGCCCCTGCTCCCGTGAATAGCTATTGCACATTGTGACCAAAATTTTTTTCCAAAGGCTATGATAGGTTGGCTGCAAATGACGTCAGAGTGACGTCATTTCTGCCATTTTCGACCTAAAAAAGGTTTCGTGGGAAGAGCTGTCAGGCCTACAGCTTTAGAGACACAGAAAAATGTTCCAGACATAAAAGGTGTAAAATCAAGATGGATACAAAACTGATGTCTCGGATTTTTGAAATTTTTGGATTTTGACCCCCAAAAATATTTTTTTTATTAAATATAATAGCCAAAAAATCCAAAAAGTTTCTTGAATTTCAAAAAACGGAATAAATGTGATAGTCTTTATCGCGTTCTATTTACATACCAAATTTGAGATCGATACCTCTTTTTTTGGGCCAAGTTATAGCGAAAAAACTGTTCAAAATTGATGACATCAAATTTTCTAACTCAATTTTTAGCAATTATAGACCTCATAGCGCAAAACAAAGACCACCATTAGACTCCCCGTGACGAGGTGCATCGAATCGATACCCATTTTATGCAAAACTAACAGCTTTGAAATTTGACCTTTTTTGACCTGACCTTGACCTGACCTTGACCTGACCTCCACCAGAAAGTGACCTAAACCGTACCTGATGGTCTTTTAACCGACACCATTGAGTTGGAAATGAAAAATTGGCCATAAAACATGCATCGCACAACTTTAGTAAAGTTGGGTTCATGTGGTGACCTTTGGTGACCTGACCTGTGACCTGACTTGGTATGACCAATGACCTCTAATAGAAACATATGTGCTAAACAACTGACGCCCTATCGCTGATTTTCGACAAGGTGGGTTTTACTCGGTGTTATAGCGCTTTCCCTAGAAGACCCGTGAACGGTGAAACATTTTATCTTTGACCTGACCTGTGACGTCATCGGTGACCCTGAGGTCAACGAAATTTGGTTTCCTTCAACAAATTTGACAGGACTATCGAACGCCGTTTGAATTTTCCGGATCCGTCCAGTAGTTTCGGAGATACGGGGGGGGGGGGCAAAAAAAATGCCCCCCATCGAGCAGAGGGTGGCCGGGAGGCCCACCGCCTGCCGGGTTAACGTTATGTTCGGCCGATTTTGATGCAAAACTTACGGCAATCACTCCCATCAGTCGAGTTTTTGAGCTCACCAACCACTTTGCCTGAGATGACTCAAAATACGCAATGCTATCAAACCGCTGCTTTACGTTTCGAAAACTTTAAATTTTGGGGAAGCTATTGAAAAAAAACCTGTAGTCTGACCTGTAGTCGTGTAGCTTTATAAATAAGTAATACATTGTACCAAAAATATAATAAACTTGTTCCCATTGCATTTAATGAACATACTAAGACGCCTCGAAATTTACGATATGAAGAAAAACTTAATAGTTCAGCAATCTGCGAATTTCGTTGCCTGATGAGCTCGGGTGGTGTTATCCAATGGGCGATGCTACCCCGAAAAATGAAAAGTCATTTACTAAATGTGGAATAATGCAATTATGAATGAAACTACAAGAAAACAATTGGTTGATATGTTTGTAAAATCAATGCGGCAGTCCAATGAAACTAAGAATTGACCATGTGGCCAACAATAACGTGACTAGACCTTGACCGCTAGTCCACCTGCTGCCCCTAATCTGACCTGCCGTCTCACCGCCAGTCCGCCTGCTGAGCCACTGTTCTGACCGATGTCTCGCCACCGTTCTGACTTGGTGCTCCCCTCCAGTCCGCCTGCTGACCCACCATTCTGACCTGGTGTCCCGCCACCGTTCTGACCTGGTGCTCCCCTCCAGTCCGCCTGCTGCCGCTGAGCGGAGTTCCCGGAGCGTTCCGTATGATCGCCAGCGGAGAGAGGCCCAAGAAGAAGGCCATCTACGAGGACGACGATGTCTCCAAACTCAGCCCCTTGGTCAGTACCATCTATGAGGTTGATTCAGTTGTCTTGATAAATACCAGTTTTTTAAATGTTCACGGCTGTCAATGCCCAGTGCTAACAAATATAATGCATGCATTACTTTGTTTAACCCTCTCCCTGGCAGGGCATTTTTCATAACACGGCCTGGCAGGTGGGGGGATCGATGCGACCCCCCCTCGCGATTGGCTCCTATGGCACCTAGAAACACCAAATTTGATAGGTAGGTGGGCCCCCTGGAGTTCTCGCCCCTGTGCAAATTTGGTTGCTCTAGGTCAATATTTAGGGGGGTTTTGGGGGTATAAATGTAAAAATTTCGCTAAAAACAGGTCAAAAGTTTTTCGCTTAAAACTTTTGATCTAATTAACCTTCGCCCCAGTGGGGGGGGCATATGTTACCACCATGTAGCGTTTTTTGCGTGTAAATAAAAAACCGCGGCGCGTAGCGCCGCGCCGCTTGGGTTAGCTTTTGGTACATCAATTTTGGACAATGTGTGAAATTTTTGACCCCAGGTCATGTCAGGTCAGGTCACCAGGTCAAGTTAACTGACCAGGCCTAAAAAAAAGTTTGCACTCATGTCCAGCCTGCAGTGTTTGTCAGAAAGGTTTTAAACTTGGTGGATTGCATGATGTTACGGGCGCCTACAATTTGTATATCTCGGATTTTTTATATCCGTGACCTAAGGTCAGGTCAGTGGCGTGACCTTACCATTACAAGTCAATGGAGAAAAATGAAAATGCCTCTAGATCCGTGTGTACGCATAGGAACAGTCCAAATATTTCAGAATCACAATGATTTGGACTACCCGTGATGACCAGGGTGTCATTTTTGCTGATAGCCTCTAGAAAGGTCATCCGAGGTCATTTGAGGCTACAAACAGAATTTTGCCAATAACTCGCGATTGGAAAGAGATAGAACGCTGGGGATGGTCTCATTGTGTTTGTTTTGCCGAGACGCATCGACTTATATGCAACATGACCTTTTCCGGTCAGGTCATGACCTTGACCTGAGGTCAAATTTTCAAGTTGACCTTTCAAGGTCAAATTATAGTTCATTCGACGCGTCTTGGCGAGAAAAACACGATTCTGGCAATAGAAATGTCGTGGCTTTTTGTTGTCCAAAGTTATTGCCGAAAAACACTTTTCGTAAAAACAGCTATTTTTGGAGATTCTGCCCTCTGGAGGCTAAACCCGTGACCTGAGGTCAATTTTGATAATGACCTTTTCAAAAGAAGAGTTCAAGAGCTATCGATTGCTTTTCCATGCGTTTTTCTAGCTACCATAGTTCCTGAGATAACGGCATGTTTTCTGAAAAATATAATGACCATTGGCAAATTTTGACCTTTGATGACCTCTGGTGACCCCAATATTGCTCTAAGACGAATAATGACTGAAATACTTTCAAACGTACGCATTGAGAGCTATTGACTGCTTTTTACCGCGTCTTTCTACCCCTCTTAGTTTTTGAGTTAGAGGTGGGTGGTAACATATGCCCCCCCCCCCCACTAGGGCGAAGTTGGCGGAGACCGCCACTGGGGCGCGGGTTAAGATAGAGCAAAAAGAAAAGCAACAGTGAACTCAGCACGTCAAGGCGCGTCGAGTGATTTACTTCTAAACTTGCTTAAGTGTACTTAAAGTTTTTCTTAATTTTTAAGTAAACTTTAATTAATCAATTAAGTTCAAGTTAACCGAATTGCATCATATCGCATATCATTCGATTCGGCTGATCACCAGGAACACAATGACATCATTTTTTAAGCTCTAGCGTCATTATGTGCCAAGTTATTGGCAAAAACGTAATTTGACCTCAGTTGACCTCATTTGACCTGACCCATGGATAAGTACACCAAACAAGGAAGCACCAAGTGACCTGTTGTTAAGTACTGTGGTTTCAAAGCACAAAAGTGATAGAATGAAGCGGATATCTCCAGTATTTTCCGAATTTAGTATTTTCCCATAGGCTTAACATTACGACGTAATGACCTCTAACTGACCTCAGATCAGTGACCTCAAAAAACCCGAACTATATGTTATACAACTCGGTGAACTTAGCACATCCTGAAAGTTTGAAGGAAATCAGTCCAAAACTGTGAGTTGGACAGGTGCAAAAAGAAAATTGAAATTTGACCATGACCTTGTACCGGTTTTTCTGACCTGGTGACCTGACCCAAGGTCACTGGGACCTGAAATTTTCAGGTCATATGCAAAAAGATTGCCCCATAGGCTGTGCCAAATTTGGCGGCGCTGCGCGCCGTTTTTACGCTATCTTTGAAAAACCTTAGGGGAGGGGCGCATCGACCCCCCCTGCCAGGGCGAGGGTTAAATAAAATGAAAGTCAGTGCTACAACCGTGAACCAATATATCTGTTGCGATATTCCAATGTTCCACACTTCCGCCGTCTATCAGGTCGCCCAAATAAGCCCAGCCCGGTGACTGCTAAGTGTCGTTCGCAGCGCTCCAGTAATGCTCGGAGCGAGGACGGCTGCGCCGACCGCCGGCGCTCCTCCCGCCCGGTCTGGGAGGAGGAGGAGCAGGAGGAGGAGGAGGAGGAGTTCCCGGACGAGGACTACTACGACTACTGCCCGGAGCAGGAGTCGGTCCTCTACTCGGACCGCGGGGAGCCGATCCCCGACCTGGAGCCCACCGCCGGAGGTCGCACGGAGTACCGGGAGAGTGTCGAACCCGAGCAGGAGTTCGGCACTCCCGAGCCGGAGTTCAGCCCAGAGCCTCCGTATGAGCTGGAGCCGGAGCCAGAGCTGGAACCGGAGCCGGAGCCAGAGCCGGAGCCAGAACTTGAGCCAGTGGTGGACCCTGAGCTTGAGCCAGAGCCGGAACCAGAGGTGGAACCCGAGCCAGAACCCGAGCCAGAACCAGAGCTAGAGCCTGACCCAATAGTAGAACCTGAGCCAGAGCCGGAACCAGAGGTGGAGCCTGAGCCAGCAGAGGAGCCAGAGCCAGAACCTGAGCTACAGGTGGAACCTGAGCCAGAGCCACAGGTGGAATCTGTCTTGGAGCCGGAGCCGGAGCCTGACGTCCCGCCGGAGCTGTCACCTGAAGACGCAGAACGTGAACCCGGCTCCAATCAACAGCTCGAAGATGACGCTAAGTACGCTCCCATGGACGAACGAACCGAGCTCGAAGATGACGCTAAATACGCTCCCACGGACGAACGAACCGACGGTGAGTAAAGTTGGTGAAAACAAAACTGATCCCTAGCGCTCTCAATCATAAGTCGCTGGCTTTACAGAAAAATACGTCATTCGAGACATTGGATAAAATATGTCACTAGCCCTTTATATTGATATATCCTTCGCCCCAGTGGGGGGGGGGCATATGTTACCACCCTGTCGCGTTTTTTGCTTGTGAATAAAAAACCGCGGCGCGTAGCGCCGCTACGCTTGGGGTAGCTTTTGGTACATCAATTTTGGACAATGTGTGAAATTTTTGACCCCAGGTCATGTCAGGTCAGGTCACCAGGTCAAGTTAACTGACCAAGCCTAAAAAAAAGTTTGCAATCATGTCCAGCCTGCAGTGTTTGTCGGAAAGGTTTTAAACTTGGTGGATTGCATGCTGTTATGGGCGCCTACAATTTGTATATCTCGGATTTTTTATATCCGTGACCTAAGGTCAGGTCAGTGGCGTGACCTTTCCATTACAAGTCAATGGAGAAAAATGAAAATGCCTCTAGATCCGTGTGTACGCATAGGAACAGTCCAAATATTTCAGAATCACAATGATTTAGTCCACTCGTGATGACCAAGGTGTCATTTTTGCTGATAGCCTCTAGAAAGGTCATCCGAGGTCATTTGAGGCTACAAACAGTTTTTTTGCCAATAACTCGCGATTGGAACGAGATAGAACGCTGGGGATGGTCTCATTGTGTTTGTCTTGTTGAGAGGCATCGACTGATATGCAACATGACCTTTTCCGGTCAGGTCATGACCTTGACCTGAGGTCAAATTTTCAAGTTGACCTTTCAAGGTCAAATTATAGTTCATTCGACGCGTCTCGGCGAGGGGAACACGATTCTGGCAATAGAAATGTCGTGGCTTTTTGTAGTCAAAAGTTATTGTCGAAAAACACTTCTCGTAAAAACAGCTATTTTTGAGTTTTTGCCCTCTGGAGGCTAAACCATTGACCTGAGGTCAATATTGATAATAAACTTTTCAAAAGAAGAGTTCAAAAGCTATCGATTGGTTTTCCTTGTGTTTTTCTAGCTACCATAGTTCTTGAGATAGCGGCATGTTTTTTGAAAAGTATAATGACAATTCGCAAATTTTGACCTTTGATGACCTCTGGTGACCCCAATAATGCTCTAAGGTGAAAAATGACGAAATACTTTCAAACGTACGCAATGAGAGCTATCGACTGCTTTTTACCGCGTCTTTCTAGCCCTCTTAGTTTTTGAGTTAGAGGTGGGTGGTAACATATGTCCCCCCCCCCCCCCACTAGGGCGAAGTCGGCTGAGACCGCCACTGGGGCGCGGGATATGTTGGCTGAAACTTAGTTCATAGGTCTCTATACTTAATTATAGACTATATGATCAACTCTAGCGTATAGTGTTCTATATAGTGTATATTGTCTGTTATTCATATACCGGGTGGCCCAGAAAAAACGTTCCCAATTTTAAATCAATATTTCTCAGAAAGTGATAAAGATACAACATTGAAACTTCCAATAGTCAATGCGACATATATTTTCAGTGAATGGTATGATTTTTATGTTATTCGGTCAATTACTTTTTAAACGGTTCGTGTTTCTAGCATGCCATGTAAAAATCACTTTTTTGCTCTGATGTTTACCAAAAATGTGAGTGAACACTGAACGGGCCACTTCCATCTCGGCACCACGGCCTACAGCCATTACTCGCGTCGAACTAGTCTCATTGGTGGTTCAGGCCTCAGGGTGACACATTCCCTCTAGCTTTTTTCCTTATTCGGTCGATTTACTATTTGATCTTCTTGAAGGGAGGGCGATCAGCAGTAACCCATGCACCGTGCCACTCCTTCGCCTCGAAACAGGACTTGTGTTGAAACGAATGGCATCCATTAACACAACTTTGGCTTAGTATTTGAATATTTGGCACATAAATGTGACAAAAATATATAAAATAGCAACACACGTGCTGGTATCATTCAAGCCGTTCTATTTTTTTTGTATTTTTTCTAACATGGTACGTCTAAGCCAATCATTACTTCCGTTCAACAACGGCAAAAAAAGCAAAAACGTCTTACTTGATTCAATATAAGATTGCTGGCTTGAAAATGATGGTAAAGTGTTATAATTTGGCATACCAATGCGCAAAGAAGTGACGCAAACTTGATGGAAATTTTGGCTCGTTATTTGCACTCAAATTTGAGATATAGGCCTCCAAAGTTCGGAACGTTTTTTTTTGGGCCACCCGGTATTTCTAACCAGCATTAGGTAATGTGCACTGGCTTTTAGTGTTGTGAAATCACGGCAGTGTACATACTCTTTCGCCATCACATCCTTGCATTAGTATTGATATTCATTTGCCGAGCTCCCGTTGTGAGTTCGCAGTATTCTGATCATCTGCTGCGCATTCGCTCGCAGAAGCGGACCCTGCCGATGCGGCGAACGACAACATCGATCAGTCCCAAGATGTCGAGTAAGTTTTTATGATGCTCCCTTCCCGTCCAATCTAATTGCACCCTTCAACCGCACACACCCTGCCGTCCTGTGCAGATGTGGTATGTCTGCTGGTCACTGAAACCGTGCAGGACATGTGTGTGGGGTCCCTCGACCTGCCGGCTGCCGCCCTGTCACGTGGGTCGCTCCCCGGGAATCGGCGGTGGCGGCGGCGGCCGGTGCGCGCACATCCCATTGATTCGATGTCGGCGGGCGGCGCGCCGGCCGCCGGAGCGCCGGCTGGCCTCAGTCGGTCCGAGCTCCGCGGTACCCGGCAGTCAGACCCGCGGTCCCCAGCAGTCAGCTCCGCGGTCACCAGCAGTCAGCCCCGCTGTCTCCTGCAGTCAGACCCGCCACCGCCGCCAGCCCCACACCGGTCATGACCTCAGTGCTGCAGATCCCCGTCCTCCGGCTCGGGTGAGTGGTGAAGGCCCCCATCTTCCGGCTCGGGTGAGTGGTGAAGGCCCCCATCTTCCGGCTCGGGTGAGTGGTCAAGGCCCCGTCTTCCGGCTCGGGTGAGTGGTGAAAGCCCCCGTCCTCCGGCTCGTGTGAGTGCCACAGGTCCCCGGTCCTCCGGCTCGGGTGAGTGCCACAGGTCCCCCGTCCTCCGGCTCGGGTGAGTGAGGCTGTTGGCGGGCGACTCTGAAACTAATCGATACAGAGAATGGCTGGACCGATGTGACATTGTAATTATCGAGTCGAATACGGCAAGGTCGGTACGACAGGATGCTTCAGCATGGTGATGTATGGCCGGGATGTTGAGTCAGAGTCTAGAGAGCTAGCAAAGAGGGACATTCCCAGAGAACAAGCTAAAGAAAGAGGGCGTGAGCTTTTTCAGACGACTGTTTTTGTTCCAACTACCTAAGCTTACTCATTTGAATTCAACTGAACCTTACTTCTGATGCATCAACATACCTATTTGCAAGCTGAGTTGTGTAATTTTGCATCCAAAAATAAATCTTAGCCCTTTACACAGTTATGTTTGTAACAGCCACACCGTGCTGAATACAATTTGACAAGATTGAAGCATTTTGTCTTATTACTATAGTTATGCTTTCGCCGAATCTCATGCAGATTACCTGCGTGTGTTTCCCATGTCTATATGGTGTAAATTGTCACGCGTGCGTCTGGTTCCAGCACTGTCAGCGACCAATATGGCGGCGCCCTGTGCCTGGACGATGACGCGCGCAGTGACACCAGCGAGGGGAGCCGCGCCAAGCTCACACAGATGAAGGTGAGAAGACCTCTATACTCTCCTGCTTCCTTATTTCCTGCCCTTTTATCGCCTCCCTCCCCTCCATTTCTCTCGATCAGTTCCTTTCTTTTGCCAATTCCTCCGTTTTCTCTTTTTTCACTCTCCTCTCTCTCTCCCGTCCTCTTCCCCATTTTCTTTCCCACTCTGTCTGTCCGTATGTCCCTCATGCCGTCTGTCTGTCTGTCCGCTATCCGATTACAGGTGTTGCACCTGTGGACTGTCTAAAATTGCTGAATAAAAATTATTCATAACTGAGTTACTTGGGTCAATCTGACCGAAAAAGCAATAATAAAATTCAATCCTGATTAAAACAAGCGTCTGGAATCCCATTTTGCAAATTCTACACAAACTGTTATTGCTTGGAAATGAACGTTTCTCGATGATAACATTGCCTTCTGTCTTCAGTCGGAGGCGGCACAGCGACTGGACGACCTAGAGAAGCTGATTGGTGAGCACCAGGAGATCGTCCAGGAGCTGAAACGGACTGAGAGTAGTCAGGTGAGCAAAAATACAATGAGAACACAGTAGTCAGGTGAGCACAAGTACAATCAGAACAGAGTAGTCAGGTGAGCACAAGTACAATCAGAACAGAGTAGTCGGGCGAGCACAAGTACAATCAGAACAGAGTAGTCGGGCGAGCACAAGTACAATCAGAACAGAGTAGTCGGGCGAGCACAAGTACAATCAGAACAGAGTAGTCGGGCGAGCACAAGTACAATCAGAACAGAGTAGTCAGGTGAGCACAAGTACAATCAGAACAGAGTAGTCAGGTGAGCACAAGTACAATCAGAACAGAGTAGTCGGGCGAGCACAAGTACAATCAGAATTCAGAACAGAGTAGTCGGGCGAGCACAAGTACAATCAGAACAGAGTAGTCAGGCGAGCACAAGTACAATCAGAACAGAGTAGTCGGGCGAGCAGAAACACAGACTGCGAGCGGGTCCCCAGCGAGCAGACGCTTAGAGGGGAAACCAGCCAGGAGGAATGACGGCCAAACACGAGTCAGTATTAACCCGGCAGGCGGTGGGCCTACCAGCCACCTTCCGCGCGGTGGGGGTGGCACTTTTTTGCCCCCCCCCGTATCTCCGAAACTACTGGACAGATCCGGAAAATTCAAACGGCGTTCGATAGCCCTGTCAAATTTGTCCAAAGAAACCAAATTTCATTGACCTCAGGGTCAGCGATGACGTCACAGGTCAGGTCAAAGATAAAATGTTTCACCGTTCACGGGGCTTCTAGGGAAAGCGCTATAACACCGAGTAAAACGCATTTTGTCGAAAATCAGCAATAAGGCGTCAGTTGTCTAGTACATATGTTGCTAGTAGAGGTCACTGGTCATACCAGGTCAGGTCACAGGTCAGGTCACCAAAGGTCACCAAGGGTCACCACATGAGCCCAACTTTACTAAGGTTATGCGATGCATGTTTTATGGCCAGTTTTTCATTTCCAACTCAATGGTGTTGGTTATAAGACCATCAGGTACGGTTTAGGTCACTTTCTGGTGGAGGTCAGGTCAAGGTCAGGTCAAAAAAGGTCAAATTTCAAAGTTGATATTTTTGCATAAAATGGGTATCGATTCGATGCAGCTCGTCACGGGGAGTCTAATGGTGGTCTTTGTTTTGCGCTACGAGCTCTAGAATTGCTAAAAATTGAGTTTGAAAATTTGACGTCATCAATTTTGAACAGTTTTTTTCGCTATAACTTGGCCAAAAAAGAGGTATCGATCTCAAATTTGGTATGTAGATAGAAGGCGGTAGGGGCTATCACATATATTCCGTTTTTTTTCGAAATTCAAAAAACTTTTTGGATTTTCAGGCTATTATATTAAAAAAAATCTATTTTTTGATTTTTGGGGGTCAAAGTCCAAAAAATTCGAAAAACCGAAATAGCAGTTTTGTAGCCCTCTTAATTCCACACCTTTTATGTCTGAAACATTTTTCTGTATCTCTAAAGCTGTAGGCCTGACAGCTCTTCCCGCGAAACCTTTTTTTGGGTCGAAAATGGCAAAAATGACGTCACTCTGACGTCAATAGCGGCCAACCTATCATAGCCTTTGGAAAAAAAAAATTGTGACCTTGTGCGCTAGCTGCTCCCGGGAGGGTACTGAAAGTTTGGTGACGATCGGCGCAGTGGTTCTCGAGATATATCGAAAAAACTAAAGGGGGGGGGCAAAAAATGCCCCCCCCCACCGCCTGGAAGGTTAAATCAATTACGTAGTTACTTTAGATGTAATCCAACAAAACTTTGAAGCTCATTGTGCGTCAACTGTCATCTAGATCTTGCGGTAATTGTTATGGTTATGTAATACCGGCCACCGTTGCTTTTGCCCCGTACTTTTGCGAGCATCTCGTTAGATACGGGAGGAGGCTGGTTTACGGGTCACATTTCTCGGCCACGTGAGACTGTTTTGGCCGGTGGCTATGTTATGGGGATGCTAGCAAACTACTGAGCTGCGGGCACCGCCAGCATTCCCTCTGGATGAAACTGACAGCTTGAAAGGAAGCATACCCGCACAAACTTTCGGACCCACCTCAAGCGCGACGAACAAAGCCAAACTTTATTCGGTTAGCGTCACAGCGCGCTGGCCTGTTGATGCAGCGTGCGCTGAATGTTTGCTTGTTGTTTCGCTCATTCGTTGAGTGAAATAATGCGTCGTTCCGATACCACGATAGGTGCTGCGTAATTATGCGTGTGCTGCGTAGTACATACGAGGGCAGCGCTTTTCGAGCAGCGCTGCGGCCCGAAGGTTGGGACTTTGATTGTGAAAAACGCCCGCCCGCCGCAAAACGCGCAAAACGCACGCCGGAAACGCCAACGAGAATGTCGCAAGAAGAAAAAAACACAAATAAATGCCCGCCCGCCGCAAACCGCAAAAAAAACGCAAAAACGCCGCAAAAAATAAAACCGCCCGCATCGCACGCACGCTAACCGCCAACCGAAAACGCCTAAAAAGCGCCTAACCGCCGCCAATCGCCTACAAGTTAAACACCACAAACGACGCAAAAAAGAAAAGGAAAACCGCCCGCATCGCCCGCCGCCAAACACAAAACGCCCGCCCGCCCGCCGCAAAACGCAAGCACCACAAAACGCGCAAAACGCACGTCCGAAACGCCAAAGCAAACGTCGAAAAAATCGCACGACCACCACAAACCGCAAAAAACGTCAAACTGCCGCAAAAAAATAAACCGCCCGCATCGCACGCACGCTAAACACCAACCGAAAACGCCCTAAAAAATCGCCCGCCCGCTGCCAAACGCAAACACCGCAAAAAGCGCCAGGCCGCCGGAAACCGAAAAAACTTAACACCGAAAAAGACGCAAAAAACGCCCGCATCGCCCGTCCGCCCGCCGTCAAACAAACACCGCAAAAACACAAAACACCCGCCCGCCGCAAAACGCAAACACCGCAAAACGCGCAAATCGCACGCCCGAAACGCTAACGCAAGTAAGACCAAAGTGGCGCGAGACGTTACATGCATACCTCACAGTTATTTATTAATGCATGAAAATGATGAGATTCTTTAGTTTTAGCCACTTTAGGCAGTTAATGGCGCACTTAAGACAAAAATGGCGCACAACAGCCTATTTTTGTCTCGCTTCATATGTGTCGCTGCCTAGTTTTGTGCACTACCGTTGCAAGTTTCGACGAAATCGGCCCGTCGAAATAAATACGCGTAATATTCCTCGACTTTAGCCACTGTAGCTAAAGTGGCGCACTAGAGACAAAAACGACGCACATGAGTTTGTTGTATTCGTAGCGCCGTTTTTGGCACAGGTCATTTTAATACATCAATCTTGCAATTTTCGTCGAAATCGGCCCATAAATGGCAAAGTTATGGCCAAAACGCCTTACATTGAGAGTGCACGTGGTCACTCGAGGTGGGGTGCCACGTGCCACGTGTGGCCTAAATACATAAAGCGACCATCCTTTTGTACCAGATGAAAGGGGTCGTCAGTGCCCATGGGTAGACTTTCGGGTGCGCCACCATTGTCTCCCAGCGGCCGATCAAACTTGGCCAATCTTTAAATTAGGGCTTACCTCACTATCGGTCACAATATCTCCGGAATGGAGAACCCCGGGCGGCCACGTGTTTGACACGTAGTAGACCCAACACCAATGGTCATTATCGCAACCGACTTGGAAGTTGGAACTCTGGCTCAAACCCATGAAGTGAGGTTATCACCTGAGCATGATTATGCACCAATGACTACCTATCCCAAAATGCTGCACCCACGTGGCGCACGTGCGAAAACACATGTACCACGTGATGAGGTGTACAACTATCCTAGAGCATCCCCTTGACGACTGACCTCGATTGGTTCCGCTGGCACGCATTGTTTGCGCGGCACAGGCCATCATACCAGCAGTGGTCAAATTTTCACGGAGGTGGTCCCCTCAAACAAGTGCGGGGCGTGCACGTGCATTTCAATCACCCCGTATATGGCCTATGCCACCTGATAGGCGACATGTGGGTGCATATCATACTGAAGCATTTTTAACATCTAACGTGGAAATTTTGAGCAAAATCGATTTAAGTAATTTTTTCAAGAAATCCCATTGACTTAAGACGTGAAAATTTGTGCGCGTGCCACGTGCAAAAAAAGTTAATTATATTTCAAGCGATTGACATTGACGAACGAACCTCCTGACCGACTACCGGTACTCAAAAAACAAAGAAAATCTATCGAGCCGATTTTGAGCAAATTGAGAAAACCCGTTTTGGCCCATTTCGTAACGTTAAATCAATGGCGGCTGCACGTGCAATTTGCACCCCCTTCCCGAAGCTGCCCGAAACGGCGCCGCCGGCTCATGGTAGATGCTGGGGCGGCCACCCAGCACATAGAAGCCCATCGCATTACAAGCACCCGTCTGCGAGAAATGCGATGCCGAAAATCCACCTAATGTTGAAGCCTATGGGCCTAAAACACGTGCACGTGCCACGTGCAAGAAAAATAATTATATTCTTAGCTGAGGGTGTTTCGTGGTAGATAATCTGTGGGGGCAGCTGCCCTGAAAATTTAATCAAAATCTATCGGTTCGTGTGCAAACGGTGCAAGGTGCCCCAATTCGCTGCACCAAACACGAATCCTATCCCGAAATGGAAACACCCTCAGTTTGTTTTTCAATAGAAAAACACAATTCTAAAGAATAGTGTTTGTCTAATGAAGAAACAACCTTCGGGTACCTACCATCGGGTGGACGGTACAATCGACTTACCGCATGAAATGTTTGTGCACAAAGCAAAGAGCCCAGTGGTACGCGGTTGGATTAAAAAAAAAAAACTATCATCAGTTGTTTCCTCCAAAATTTCGCAGTTGTTCAGTGTAGACGAGCGTGGCTGAGACCGCAATCCAAAGTCATTCTTCCAAAAATTGTCTGATTTCAAATGGTGGCCATCCAAATTAGTTCGATCCGTCTGCCACCCAGAAATAACGGCCAGTATCTCATACTTGGATAGTTTCTCTACAAGCCCTTAAGGCCGCCCCACACTGGACCTC